TTTCTCCCTTTCTCACAATACAAGAACTCGTCGGCACTCATTGAAATTGCTGAGCAGTCGGGTTAGAACGGATAAAAGGAAGTCCTTCTTCACCCAAAGAGTGATTAACACATGGAACTCACTGCCACAAGAGGTGGTGGTGGCTTCAAGCATGGACGGCTTCAAAAGGGTATTAGATAGGCATATGGAGCAGAGGTCCATCAGTGGCTATTCACCACAAGGTATAGCTAGGGACTCTGCGGCAAGTGATGCTCTGTCTTCTTGGTGCTTGGGGGAGGGGTTTAACAGTGGGAGGGTTTATAATGTCCTGGCCCCACTGCTGGACCTCCTGATGGCACTGGTTTTTCTGGCCACTGTGTGACACAGAGTGTTGGACTGGATGGGCCTTTGGCCTGATCCAACATGGGCGTCTCTTATGTTCTTATGAGAGAGGAAAGGGGGGCACAAATGACATGCGTCCTTCCAAGTCCCTACTTGGAATGGTATAACCCTCTGCCATGACCTCCTTTACTTGTCTTTTAAGAGGGCTCCTCCCCATCTCGCTCTTTGGAGACAGTCCGAGCTCCCTTCGACAGAGAAGGCAGAAAAATCTCCCAAGTTAGGGCAGCCAATTGTGGAGGAACACTGGGGGTGGGGTGGGGGAATGTTGTCCTTATAACTATGAGGCGGGGCTGATGATGTGTCCGGGAAAACGTTTCTAGGAAGAGACAAAGGAGCCAATGTTCCCTCTAAGCTGTGGAGTCTTGTGTGCAAAAATTCTACTTTGTGAGATACTGGCATTGAAGTTGTGAGCAGGTGATTGGGCCACTGCATAAATTAGTTTGCTCTGGAGCCATCTCTCCTGAGCTAAGACAAAAATGTGTGAGCCGGAGGCTAAAGAGCTGTGAGCTAGCTCACACTAACTCAGCTTAGAGGGAACACTGCAAAGGATCCCCCTTCCCTTCGAGGGAGAAAGGGCGTCTCTTGGTCGCCACCCCACCCTGGAAAGGAGCCCCCTTTCTTCCAGTGCCCCGCCTCCCCACGCACAGGGAAGGCGTCTGCGCTCCCCGCCCCGAGGAAGGCGCTGCAGGGACCCTCCCGGCTTTGCAGACAGGAGCGAAGGAGATCCCTCCCTCCGGGGTCGTGGGGAGGGGGGCTGCGGGGCCCTTCTGGAGAGACAGCGGCTTTCCCCGGAGTCCCCCCTCCGAAGCTGGGGGGGGTCTTTTTCCTCGGCCACGCCCCTCCCGTCGCCAGCAGCCGTTTCCTCCCCCCCCCTTTACTGACTCTCTGGACCCGCCCGTCCCCTCGATGCATTTCCCCCTCCTTGACTTTGCACCGAGCATCACAGTCCAGCTGCTGGAAACGGGGGATCTGAAGACTTGGGGGGTGGGGGGTCAGCCAGGTTTCAGACTCATCGCCCCCGAAGGCTCCCCCTTCCTGCCCCGCCCCGCCCGCTTGGCTAGGCTAGGCTCCTTGCAGAGGAGGGTTCAAGGGGGAGACGCGTCTGCGCTCTTAGAGAGCAGGGAGGCGGTGGCGGCGTCGCGTCACTTCCTGCTAGAGCCTCCCCCCCCGTGGAGAAGGGGGGGTCTCGGTGCCTGCAGCGGCCCCAACACGGTAGGATCGGTTGAGCTGGAAATGCAATTTTTTTGGGGGGTCCCCCTAGGTCAGCGGTGGAGGGGGGAGAGGGCATGCGCGGTTGCAAAAGGCGCTCCAAAGACGGGGGCGGAGGGGTGAGCCGCAGGTTTGGGCGTCGACTTTGCTCTGAGTCGATTGTCATCGTATTCTGTGAGCCTCTTTTTCCGCTTTCTCGGACTACTGTTGCATATGAATGAGATGCAAATATGACTGCGATGCTGCCTTGTGATAGGCAATAAAGGAGAAGTCCATGTGAATCGGAGAACAGGTCTACCCACCCCAGTCCACTATGTTGGTAGACCTGGCCTTGGACTCTTTGCCCTGCACTGACTCTTAGAAAACATACCAGCAATGAGACAAATCCTTTTTTAATGGCTCAAGTGGTTAAGACTGAACTGCAGGCTCTGGAAGGTCAGTAGTTCAGCAGTTCGAGACCCGAGTGTGCCGCATGATGGAGTGAGCTCCCCTCTCTAGTTCCAGCTCCTGCCAACCTAGCAGCTTGAAAGCAAGAAATTGTAAGTCGATAAATAGGTACCGCTTCGGTGGGAAGGTAACAGAGTTCCGTGTGCCTTGGTGTTTAGTCATGCCGGGCCACATGACCACGGAAACGTCTTCGGACAGCGCTGGCTCTTCGGCTTTGAAACGGAGATGAGCACCGCAACCCTAGAGTCGGATTCGACTGGCTTTCGAGCAAGGGAACCTTTACCTTTACCTTTTTTGCTTGCTGGAGTCTTTTCATTCGAAATTTAAACTCGTACTTTAGATGCCCTTATTGGCTGGCTCTGTGCCCAACCTACTACGAATCACAGTTAGATTCTACACCCAGTGTTAACCCATAGTGACCCAGGAATTTAAATAAAACGAACGTTGGTGTTCTAAAGCAACCAATAGGATCTAATGTGCCTTAACAATGTGGCTTAACTATGTCAAAAAGCAACAAAACCTGGTCTAAAGGGGGGGGGAGGAGTCACAGTTCGGAGTTCGGATTTCAGGTTGTACTGCAAACATATTTGGTCTCAGAAACCTTTTATCATGGGTTTCCTCAGCTGGTCCTGCAGAGGTTGAGGCAGTAATGAAGTGTTTCATCCCTCACTCATTTACAATCTCCACCTAATAGTTTTGCCAGATTGCAGAACATCATAATTATCAATACACCGACATAGGCCATCCTCTTCTGGCATTGAGCATCATGTATTGTTGAACCAATCATCTACCGGCCATTTATATTTTCATTTTCAGAGCAAACAAGAAAAGACGAGATGCGTGCATTGGTAAAGGCACCAGCAGTCCCTCTTGTCCTTTGGGGGGCTCTGGTTGACCTTAAGAAGTAGCCCCTCGGAGGCTAAGGAATGAGAGGCTAAGCTTGTAACATCTCTGAAAAGCCAAACAGAGACACTTAACTTTCCCAAAAAAGCAGGGTGGCATATTTAAAATACCTGTGTCTGTAATAAAGCAAAAATGGTATTAAACCCGATCAACAAACCACAAGAAGCCCTTTTGTTCTGATCTTCAGGGGCAATTCTCACGTGTCCCCTGAGCAAATGAAGGTTTGTGATGCTTGGTGGTGTGTCTCCATTCTCCTTTTTCCTTCTGACATGTCCCTGTCTGTGTCTCTCCTACCCCCCAGAGAGAAGCTTCCCTTCACAGCCAAGTGAATAAAGGCATCTTTTCCCAGATGGAGAAGACTCAACAGAAGTGGCAGGAGGTGGAAGAGCAGGACCCAGGAGGACCTGGAACTGGCAAGACAGCAAGCGAAGGCCCCCTTCTCCTCCAAGCCAGGAGTGGTGTTGAATTCTGGGAAGGAGTTCTGCCAGAGACCCTGGCTCAGGACACCATGACCTTGGATATACATGGCCAGCGCTTCCGGAGGTTCCGCTACCATGAGGCCAATGGGCCCCGAGAGGTCTGCAGCCGGCTCCATGGACTTTGCAGCCACTGGCTGGAGCCAGAGAGGCACACCAAGAAGCAGATGCTGGACCTGGTGATCCTGGAGCAGTTCCTGACCATCCTGCCCCAGGAAATGCAGGGCTGGGTCAGAGGATGCGGGCCGGAGACCAGTTCCCAGGCGGTGGCCCTGGCCGAAGGTTTCCTCCTGAGTCAGACAGAGGAGAAGCGGCGGGCGGAACAGGTGAGGGGATTCCCTCCGGATATGTCCAATTCAAGCAACGCTATCTGGCCTTCTCCTAAAGGTTCCCTGCCATTCGTTCAAAAGGGAGATTTTATAGTCTCCTTCAGCAGCCTCTTGTATTAGAGGATTTAAGAATGTAAGTACATAAAAGAACCCAACGTTGGATCAGGCCAATGGCCCATCCAGTCCAACACTGTCACACAGTGGCCAAAAATACCAGGTGCCATCAGGAGGTCCACCAGTGGGGCCAGGACAGCCCTCCCATTGTTGCCCCCCCCAAGCACCAAGAATATGGAGCATTACTTGCCCCAGACAGAGAGTTCCTATCCAGTGTTAGATCGGACCTTGAGGCTAATATCCACAGATGGACCTCTGCTCCAGATGTTTATCCAGTTCCATCTTGAGGCCGTCCATGCTTGTAGCCACCACCACCTCCTGTGGCAGTGAATTCCATGTGCCAATCGCTCTTTGGGTGAAGAAGGTCTTCCTTTTATCTGTTCTAACCCGACTGCTCAGCGATTTCATACGAGTGCCCACAAGTTCTTGTATTGTGAGTAAGGGAGAAAAATAGTTCTTTCTCGACGTGCTCTATCCCATGGATATTCTTATAAACCTCGATCATGTCACCCCGCAGCTGTCGTTTCTCCAGGCTAAAGATCCCCAACTGTTTTAATCTTTCTTCATTTCTGATCCCTCCGAATAACTCACCAGGTCTACTGACAGAAGGGTGCAGACTGTAGGAGTGTGGCAGGCAGGGCTCTTTTTGTAGCAGGAGCTCCTTTGCATATTAGGCCACACCCCCATAATGTAGCCCATCCTCCAAGAGCTTACAGAGCTCTTCTTACAGGAGCTACTGTAAGCTCTTGGAGGATTGGCTACATTAGGGGTGTGTCGCTTAATATGCAAATTAGTACCTGCTACAGGATCTATTCCTTGGTCCATTCCATTCCATCTCTTACCTTGCTGCTCCCTGACCTGGATAGCCCAGGCTAGATGGATCTTGTCACATCTCGGGAGCTCAGCAGGATCAATCTTGGCTAGTATTTGGATGGGTGACCTCCAAGGAATACCAGGGCCATGACACAGAGACAAGAAATGGCAAAACACCTCTGAAAAAAATAGTCTCGCTCGCCACCTAGTGGTGCATAACGCTACAAGACCTAGAACTTCTGTCTGCTGGACAATCTTAGTTTCTCCTGGCTATACTACACACACTGCCCATATGTTAATTCATTCATTTCCCTTGCTGCTTTTTCAGATGGGCCGACAATCCCTGAAGATAGAAACGACGTTCCCCGAGGCAGAAGGAGCTTCCTTGGAGCAAGAGCAGAGAGCGCGGGCGCAGGAACATACCCACGATACCCTCTCCTTTGGTAAGGACTCTTTGTGCCTGGATAGGATTGTAATGTATTGAAACAGCTTATATGAATCACCACATTCACTCCCCATGTTAAGCTTGAGCAAGAGGAAGGCTCTTCTGAGTCTGCTTGCTATTGGTCGTCCTGCACAAGCGACCAATCAGAACGGGACTAATTCCCCGAGCGGGAAGAACTTTCATTGGTCCTTATCTGAACAACCGCATTGGTTGATGTTTGTAAATAGGCGTGGCTACATTAGCCCAGGAAGGTTTAAAAGGAGCCTAGCTCCCAATGTTAAGTTGTTCTGGTTATGAATGCTTTTAAGCGCTTGTTCGTGCCTTCAATAAAGCTGATCACTTTGCTGAAATCACTCTCTGACTCCTTGTTAGCGGCGATCTAACAAGGATTGGGTCACCCAGTACCTTTGACGACTAGAGAGTTCTGGTCAGGGGGCGGAATTAAACACCTCTTCACACAACAGTTTGGTGTCGTGGTTACGTGCACGGACTCTAACCTGGGAGAGCCGGGTTTGATTCCCCACTCCTCCACTGAGGCAGGAAAATACCCACAATGCCCTCTCCTTTGGTAAGGACTCTTTGTGCCTGGATAGGATCGGGTCACCCAGTGCCTTTGACGGCTAGAGTGTTCGGGTCAGGGGGCGGAATTAAACACCTCTTCCCACAACACGAAGTTAATTTGCGGAACTCAACATCCACTAATTAAACAAATTTATGGAAGGCAATTCCTCACATTAATTAAAATATTTATATCTTACCCTCCTTCCATACAGTAGACAAATCTCGGCAGAGCTGTTAAACCTGGGGAATACAGGGAGCCCCAACCTTCTGGGGCAGCAGAGCTCTGAAAAAATACTTTCCGGGGGTTAATCATAATGGGGAGATTTGGCTTCTGTGCCTGTGCTTATAGGGGCATCTAGCAGACGACTGTGGGAAAGAGGATGCTGGCCTAGGGGTTCAGGGCTGTGGCCTGGCACCCCCCCAGGAGCTTAAGGGAGGGGCTTGGAGCCGATGTGGTGTCGTACAGGCCCATAGCCACTGTGGGGTCTTGCGAGGCCCAGCCCTCTGACTTCCCGTTAAGGCCCCCCCAAGTTCCCAATACCACCTGAATTCCATTTTTTAGTTGCACTCGCCACTGCCACCGGCAACTTCCCGTTAAGGCCCCCCCCAAGATCCCACACCACCTGACTTCCAGATTTTAGTTGCACTCACCATTGCCACCGGCAGCAAGCCTCGCACCGCCC